GCTGCAGCTCTTGCTGCATTTAAAATGTAGAGGCTCAGTGTCCCAGACCAGCACGAGCTCAGTCCTGGCTCGCGCTGAGTCCAGCAGTCCCTACCCACAGCCAGCCCTAGCCACTGCAAACAGCCCCTGGCCACTGGGGGACCCTGCTCCCCGCTGTGACTCCTGCAAACAGGGGCTGCTGCTGGAGCAGCCTCCCGTATCTTCCCCCCTGCTATCTCTGATAGAGGCAGGGGGTAGGGGAAGAGGCAGCACTGGCTCCTGTCCCCCCGCTCCCTTGCTGCCTCAGGGGAGGAAGTGAGTAGTCGATACTCCAGTTGACTGCCCAATAAGTTTATGCTCATCGGGTAGCAGACTAGTCAACTACTCGCTAATATCCCGAGTTGGGGGTGTTTTAAATGCCTGCTAGGGTCTCCAGTTAAACTGGTCATTCTCGTCTCCTAACCAGAGTTGGGCACACCAGGCAGGAGGACAGGTAGTTCTCCCCTAATTTATAATTCTCATATTGCAAGGGTGTAATGCCATAAAGTCATGGAAATCTATCCTGATCCCTGCAAAGAGTAAATCAATTGAGTATCATCCTAATTACTATACTGTCTGCTTTTTATTTGTCCAACTGCCTATTTTCAACTGACGCGCATGTGTACATATTGTATAATGTCTTAACTTATAACGTTTCTTCCTTGTGGTCCCCAAATCTCAGGATTACTACAAGCCTACAAATATATTTCCTAATAGCAGGGGCCCAACTAGCTATTCTGGGGGAGGACATGCAAGATATGACTTTGGGTCCCCCTCCTCATCTCCTCTCTCCTCTTGAGCATTATTGCGTAGCTAACGAGAATTATTTTACCCCATCGTCTCAGTGTATTCAAGAGTGTAACAGGAGAGTCTAGTCCCCCTTCCTGTTATCTTCAGTCTCTAGTCATGATCCCCTGGTTATTCACCAATGGGGGAAATAGGGGGGTCCAGGCCCACCCTCACTCCCGGACCCCAGCCCAGGGCCCTAAGGACAGGTACACCGAGACCTGCCCTGCTGGTGGGGCGCCTGCCCGAAACTCACCAGCACGCTGAGCTTACCTGGCCCTGGGCTACTTCCTATCCCCCGGACCCTAGTTCCCCCGTGATTCCCACCTTCTCCGTATTGGCCTCACCCCCTGTGTGTCCCTTGCCCCTTCCTGCTCCACTCCCGCGCCCTCCTCCCATTCTGTTCCTGCGTCCTCCTCTTGTTTCGCTCCTGTGTTCTCTCCCTGCTCTGCTCCTCCCTCCTTCCCCCTGTCTCTAGCCCAACGGGGGTTTTGAAGAGCCCGCGCCGGTGTCCCAACGCGATGACGTCGGTCGCCGCGCATGTTAGCTCCGCCCCTTCCCCCAGTCCCCGCCCCTCTGCCGGCCATGTTCGTTGCGTGCTGCTTGTCAGCTGGGCGGCGGCGGCAGAACAAGCGCGGCAATTCACCCCCACTCCTCGGATCGTCCCCAGGAGCGTCAGGGCAACCGCGGGTTCAGTGCGGGGGGGGGGTCCACGTCCACGGGGTGGAGGCGGCCCGCTCCGTCACAAAGAGCGATTAAATAAGTTTGCATAGGTTTAATTGCACCTAGTATTCCACAGGGGTGAAAGTAACTTACATTTCTTACAGGTGCTATTGTAGCGTGCACGCACACCCAGGGGAGGATGCTCAAATCAGGTGGTTGAGGGGGAAGTGATATGACATTGCCTATAAGAAATTTAAGTGAGGGGTGAAGTTGGGAGGGCTTGGGCCAGGGGGATGGAGTGAGGGCATAGGTTTAATTGCACCTAGTATTCCACAGGGGTGAAAGTAACTTACATTTCTTACAGGTGCTATTGTAGCGTGCACGCACACCCAGGGGAGGATGCTCAAATCAGGTGGTTGAGGGGGAAGTGATATGACATTGCCTATAAGAAATTTAAGTGAGGGGTGAAGTTGGGAGGGCTTGGGCCAGGGGGATGGAGTGAGGGGAGTTGCTAAGGACAGTGGTACAGGAATCAGAGTAGGGGTTAGGGCATGGGAGGGGCCAGGGCCTGGGAGGGTAATGGGGGTGGGGGGAGGCTAAAGCTGCACGTACTGGGTCATTGCCCCTCTTCCTCTGATCAGAAGCGAGGGGAAGTGCACAGCTTGTATGAATTCTCTGCCTCTCTCCTGGGCAGCTGGGAGCAAGAGGAAGGCACACATGCTGCACACGTTCCCCTCACTCCCTGATCGTCAGAGCAAGAGGAAGAGCAGCAGAGCTCTGGATACACGTGGCTGTACCCCCACCCTCCCAAACACACATGTGCATCCTACATATAAAGGGCATGGGGGAAGGGTCTAGAGGCTGAGACAACCACGGGGTGGGGGTGGGGGGCGCACACCCCTAACCAACCCCCCCAATCCACCCCAACTCTAATCTGTTTGAGGATGGAGAACTTGTCCGTTGTGAAGTGGGTATTGCCTATAGGTGAAGAGACTGGACTAACCCTGATATTTCTATTTAGTTTTGGGACTGGCAAAATATTGGTAGGCCCAATGGTTAGACACTAACCTGGGACTTGGGAGAGCCAGGTTCAATTCCATGCTCTGCTCCAGGTTTCCTGAGTAACCTCGTCAGTCATTTTTACTTTCTCAGCTGTACAGTGGAGATAATGGAATTGCCCTGCCCCATAGGGATGCTGCAAAGACAAATATGTTAAAGATTATGCGGTAGCTGGGCACTACAGCAATGAGGTCGGTAAGAATGACATTAGAGTATCTGTTCATATCTCCAATAATACATCGAGACGTTGGATGCTTATGGGTTTTTTTAAGAGAATGCAGATTTTCATGTAGTAGCTAATTTGGCCTATAATATGCAGTGAGTTTTTAGATGATGTTTCATTCAACTCTGCTGTTCCAGAGAAGGCAAACTGTACCATGTATTGAGATGTTGAAATTTAGAAAACAGAATGTTATTGAGTTATTCCACACTCTTGAGTAGAGAGTGGAGCAGCATTAGTATATGGTGATCCAAGTGACAGCTACTAAAATGAAATAATGTTTCATTATTAGCTGAATCCCTGGTTGAGGTGCTGTATTTTGTGCTCCCATAAATCTGTGCATTCAAGAAGATGCAATGCATAACTTATTTCACAATGGATTCTAAATTATAGAATTAATTACCCCGTAGATTCACTAAGTCTATTTGTAGATGCCTATTAGTTTACTTCCATACAGTAAAAGATTTATTCATGGACAAACTGCATAGTCAAAGTAGAAATTTGAAAGTAAACTATGATTGTCTTATGAAACACTGAGGTTAGGTTTGCTCTCTCCTCCGTGCATAGAGAGACCACAGATTTGTCCAATAATTGTGCAGAGCAGAGGAAAGAATTATCATAGAATACTAGAATTGGAAGGGGTCTCGAGGTCCCTTACAGCATAAACAAGCACTAGCATCCCTAAAATCTGTCTAACCTGCTCTTAAATATCTCAAATGATGGAGATTCCACAACTTCCCTAAGCAATTTATTCCAGTGTTTAATCACCCTGACAGTTGGGGAGTTTTACCTAATGTCCAACCTAAGTGGAATAAAAGGAGGAAGGGAAACAGTATGATCCCAGTCTGGGTCCCCTTAGTACAAATGTACTCATGGAAAAAAAGCAGGTGATGCCTTGGATATCTTTTCATCTTCTGTGGCTGCTTAATGCAGCTCATTTGCACAAGGCTCAGGCAGAGAGCTGCTGGCTGAGGCTTCTTTTCCCTGCTTCTGCATCTGTGGATGCTCCCAGGGTGGTTGGGACTTGAACCACCACCCTCTGCAAATGCTGTATCCTCCTAGGCTGCACCAGTGCCCAGTCCACCTCCCCTACCTTCATAGGGTCCCTTACCTGCCTTTCTAATGTGGGAGAAACATCCATCTGTGGATCAGCTGGTGTTTTGCTGCTCCCAGAGTGGGCAGAGCTTGATCCCCCCACCCTGCATGTACCCTATCCCCCTCCAGAGCCCACCCCACCTCCTTGTCTTGGGGCAGGGATGGACTAGAGCACACCACCCTATGCTCCCCAGGCAAATGCCCTAGCCCGTAAGCCACTCCAGAACCCGCTGCTCCTTCACAGGGTCCCTTATCCTGCTTTCCTGATCCTGAGGCAACTGGTGTTGGCTGCCCAGCCACTTCCTGAGAGTGCAGCAAGGGATCAAGCCCACCAGCTGTGCTCCAGAGGCTGATGCCCTATCCCCTAGTGCACTCCAGAACCCACCCCACCCCCTGCCTTCAGCGGGTCAGAAAGCACCAGTGGATACTCCCACTCTAAGGAAGTTGCTGCTATCTGCATGAGGGAATTAGGAAGAGAAACCAGAGGAGGAGATGAAAAGGATAAACAGAGAGAGCAGCAAAAGAGAATGCCTCAAAGGACAAAATGAAACCGAGAATAGGCTGAGCAGAATAATAAGGAAGGATAGTCTAGTGGTTGGGGTGCTAGTCTGGCACTCAGGACACTGGAGTTCAGTTCACTTCAGCTCAGCTCAGCTTTGCAGAAGATCTTTTGTGTGGGTTTTTTTTTTTTTCACGTAAGTTTATTAGGGCCATCTGTAAAATGGGATAATAGTGCTGCCTATCTCCATAAGGATGGTTGGGGATAAATGCATTGACTGCAGGACGCTTGGATTGTACAGTAATAAGAAGCCATATAAGGACATAAAATATATGCCCCAGCTGTGCCGGGGAGAGCAAAAGAAGAAATCTGTCCTCCATCCAGCAGTCCATAACAAAAGGTCTCCATCCAAAATAAAAGGTTGGAATTTACGGATGTAGGGAGTCTCTGGAGAGAAGGTAGCTTCCATGGCATTAATAAGCTATTGCTGAAATTTCCTGCATGCAATGGGAGACATCCATTTTCTCTCTCCACTCTTAACAAGCAGTTTCTCATCAGCCCTGCCATCTCATCATGCTGGATTTTTTTTATCCTTTTCCTCAAGGAACTATTTTCATATGCCCTCAATTTTGCTATCTTTCTTCATTCACTGTATTGTAGGTTGGATCCGGTATGCTGAAAGGGTGCTTACCAGCTCAGTGACACCACACATTTGCACCGCGAAATCTCCTCAGCAGATCATGGGATCCCTGGTGAAGGGTTACTTCGCCAGGCAACAGGTAACTTTAATTCTACTTTTCTTGATTAAGAGAATTGTTCTCTTGCGTGTTCATTTCTAATATGTAGTTACATATGTCTTACACCTTCCCCTCCCCAATTAACCATGCACTGGCTGAACATAGTTGCAGTACTGTGCTCTCAATACTTCATAGAGAGTTTTTTTTTCTATATAGAAAGTTAAACCCAGGGGGTATGTCTAGCCGACATGTTTCTTTCGAAAGAAGCTTTTTCGAAAAAACTTTTGAAAAAGCTTCTTTCGATAAAGATCGTCTCAACAGCCACAACTTTTTCAAAAAAGCGATCCGCTTTTTCAAAAGAGAGCACCCAGGCAATCTGTATGCTCTCTTTCAAAAAAGCCCTGTTTGCGGTCAAGAATACCTTTCTTTGAAAGAGCTCTTCCGTAAAAAGGTATTCTTCCTCATAAAATTAGGTTTACTGCTCTCGAAAAAACCGCCATGTTCTTTTGATTTAATTTCGAAAGGACGCAGCAGCAGTCTTGATGCAGGTAAAGTTTTGTTTTTGTTTTTTTCTCGAAGAAAGGCCACTTTAAAAAAAAACAAAAAAACTCCCTGTAGTCTAGACATAGCCAGAGTGGCCAATGTAAAGGTGGTATGTCAAATGCTACCCACAGAGTTCTACAATACAGCCACTCCCATTTGTAAAGCAGAGAGTATCATGTAAAAACTACTGGTCCCAACATGCAATGCTCGGTCATCTCAAATCAAACTGAAGCATTTGCATCCTGAGAACTGGAAGTATCCCTGGTTTTGAACTCATAAGCTGATTCTGCCACTAATTTGTGGTTTGGCTTGAGCAAGTCACTTCCTCTCTTTGCCTTAGTTTCCCTTGGAGAGTGACCAAGCATTCCAATATTATAGGGACCATCCCAATACCAGGGGCTTAGTTTTATATAGGCAGCTAAATTCTTCTTTCCACCCCTTCCGTCCCCTTGGGGAGAAAATACACTGATTTTTCAGAACTGCTGTATGAGAGATTTGGATAATAATACTTAACTACCTCTGGCATAGGGGGTGTTGGTTGCCTCAGTGAGTTATGGTAAAATGCTATATTATTATGTTTGCTGCTGTTGTTAGTGGCTGTCAGTCTCATAGGAAATAACCCACAACTCTATCCGATGGACAAAGTGTGGGTGTGCCCCATGATAAGAGATTCATCTCAAAATCTGGACACGTCACACTTCTCAAAATGCACAACATACACAGTACTAGAAGTAGTTTCCATGTGAAAATATTTCTTGATTTCTCTGTTCTTTATAGTCAAATTATAGTTAACTGGGTCATTTGGGAAAAAGTTTGCAGGTGACACTAAGCTAGGGGGAAAGGTAGATACGTTGGAAGGTAGGGATAGGATCCAGGGTGTCCTAGACAAATTGGAGGATTGGGCCAAAAGAAATCTGAGATTTAACAAGGACAAGTACAGAATCTTGCACTTGGGACAGAAGAATCCCAAGCATTGTTACAGGCTGGGGACCAACTGGCTAAGCAGCAGTTCCGCAAATCTGGGAATTATTGTGGATAAGAAGCTGGATTCAAGTCAACAATGTGCTCTTGTAGCCAAGAAGGCTAATGGTATATTGGGGTGCATTAATAAGAGCATTGCCAGCAGGCTTAGGGAAGTGATTATTCCCCTTTGCTCAGTATTGGTGAGGCCCTTTGGAGTACCGTAAAATCATGAGTATAATGTGCACCTATGTATAGTGTGTACCAACCTTTTAAACGTCAGAATTCTGGAATAAGCTGAGCTCTTATCTATAATGCACACCCCCATTATACTCACGATTTTACCCTATATATAGGAAGGAAGGGGCTGCTCCCACCTGCAGGCTCGTCAGGGAAAAGCGCACGCAGCACCGGGGAGCCGGCGGCGGAGTTTGAAACCTGCTCCCTGCCCAGCTGCTCATGCGCCACGCTGAGCTCACACCTGCTGCGGGGCCCATTGCCCCACCCACCGGCTCCTCACCTTGTCCGGAAGCCTGGCTGACCTCACGCCTGCCGCGGGGGCCCCCTGCCCAGCTGAGCTCGCCGATGTCCAGCTGAGCTCGCGCCTGCCGGGGAGGGTGGCGGGGAGGGTGAGGTAAAAATTTTACAAATTACCTCCTATGTATAATGTGCACCCCGGATTTAACCCTTGATAACCGGGAAAAAAGTGTGCATTATACGCGCGATTTTACGGTATTGAGTCCAATTCTGGGCCCCATTGCAGAAACAATGTGGACACAGTGGAGAGAGTCCAGCAGAAGGCAACAAAAACAATTAGGGGGCTGGAGCACATGACTTATGAGCAGGGCTCGCCGAACTGCGGCAGGCCCCGCTTGCCAGCTGTGCTGTCCGGTGATGTGCGCAATCTTCCAGGTTGCAGTCTACTCGCCACGGGCAAGTAGATTGTGTTATTTGTTGAGCCCTGCTTTTGAGCACAGGCTGAGGGATTTGGGCTTATTTAGTCTACAGAAGAGAAGGGTGGTGTGTGTGTGGGGGGGAGGGGGTTGATAGTTGCCTTCAAGTGCCGGAAGGGGAGTTCCACAGAGGATGGAGAGAGGCTGTTCTCAGTGGTGACTGGTGACAGAGCAAGAAGCAACGGTTTCAAATTGTAGTGGGGGAGGTCTTGGTTGGCTATTAGGAAAAATTATTTCCCTAGGAGGGTGGTGAAGCACTGGAATGGGTTTAAGTGCTTCCCTAGAGCAGTGTTTCTCAACCGTTTTTTTTTTTTTTTTTTTTTTTTTTTTTTTTAAAAAAACCCCCTTTTTCTACAGTTTTCAGACACACAATTTTTTTTTTCTACCATTGCAACACATTTGTTTAAACAACTTAATCGTAGCCTGGTGGGCGATGAAATTTTTGGGTGTTAAAAGTACAAAAATAATAAAGCACTGGAACACTTAAAACAAAAATTCAGTTTTCTCCAAATTTCGGTTGTGTTGACGTACCCCCCAGACTTCTCTCTAGTACCCCTAAGGGTACTCGTACCACTGGTTGAGAAACACTGCCCTAGAGGTTTAAGTCCCAGCTTTACAAAGCCCTGGCTGGGATGGCTTAGCTGGGATTCGCCTTGCTTTGGGAAGGGAGGAGGGACTCGACCTTCTGAAGTGTCTTCCAACCCAATGATTCTAAGTTGTATGGCCTGAATGTTTGAAACATTTCTGACAAACTGCTGTAATACAATCCACTTCTACAAAACAAACAAACTTCCCCAGTGGTTGTGACTTGCAATCAGTTTCAGACCTAATGTGACTGTAAGTATAACCTGTGAATTTTTTTTTTTTTTTTTTTTGCAGTAATGATTCTGTCCACCATGTTGGCGCCATATATTTCTGTCCTTTTACAAAATTAAGATGTGTCCTTTTTATTCCTTAGAACCTGTCTCCAGATAAAATTTTCCACATAATCGTGGCTCCTTGCTATGACAAAAAATTAGAAGCCTTGCGGGAAGATTTTTACATCTCCTTGTATAATTCTCAAGATGTTGATTGTGTTCTAACATCAGGTAAAACCCCCTTTAAACTTAACTTCTATATAATTGTCGGCATGATTCACCAGTTGTTTGAACTAACTTTGTTTTTTATTCATTTAGCATTTTGTAACTGTCAGAGTAAGGTTTAGTTTCATCTGATTCCAAAAAAGGACTCTTTCTTGAGTTACTGACTGTGTATGTATTGCATAGAGATTGTGTGTGAGGTAGATAAAAGAACAAGAATTGTTTGTGTCCGTATTCTGCTCTCTTGTATCATCCAAAGCAATTGCCTGAACTTACACTGTAGGCAACCTTTCTGACAAGCAACTGCTGTACTGACTAGCATTTATTTAGTGGCTTTGTCCTCCTCACCTACATTCCACCTGTTAATTCACTAACACATCTGTCCTGGGACAACGACTACTTCCAACTTTCCTGTCTCCCAACAGCTCCAAATCCAAACTGTTGGGTTTTTGTGTGCAGTGAAGGGGTGGGGAACAGGAAGGATGGAAGGCGATTAATCTGCCACCAAAACATTTTTTCCTTTTCTGACCAATATGGAAATTTGTCCCAATGCCATCCTGCTCAAGGCTCAGTACTGGCCCAGTGATAGGTTGAAGGTATTTTTATCTCGAGATCCTTCAGGACAGCATGTTAGCTTTTTAATCACTGGAATGAAGAGACAGTTTGTTTATAACCTTGGAAGTGTGGAAATACTGGAGCTGAAAGTCCATATTTCTCTCCCTCCACGCCCTCACTCAGATGCCTCTTTTTTACATCATTTTAAGAGGCTTTTTAAAAATAAAGGTTGGACCCCCCCCCCATTGAGCACCCTTGGGACCTGACTGGTCCCAGATGAGGGATTTTGCCAGATCAGGGGAAGGCATTTCTGGCCCCCCTGCTGCTAGCCCCACCCCTGCCCTGCTGCCCACCAGGCTTCCTGGC